ATAATTTATGTGACCATATTTGGCAAAACGAAACCATATTTAGAATTGATGAAATGATAACAAATATAAATCCATGGCTGAGTGGAAGATCGATCTATCTAGGCAGCCAGTCGAAAACGCCCCATCTCAGAAAATTTTTCAACATTGTTCTATCTCAGAAAACTTTTCAAGAACGCCCTACTTCAGAATTTGATTGAAAACCACCCAACCTCAGAATTTGTTTGAAAAACGCCCTATCTCAGCTTATTTTCAATTGAGATAGGGCGTTCGTTTGAGATAGGGCGTTTTTGAACCGAATTCTGAGATAAATAATAATAAAATATGTAGGTTGTTTATCAAATAAAATTCTGAGTAGGGCGTTCTTGAAAAGTTTTCTGAGATAGGGCATTTTCGAACCGGCTGCCGGGGTAGGTTGATCTTCCACTCAGCCATCGAAATATAAGTTAAGGAGGAATTATTATAAATTATTTTATTTTAAGCCAGATTTAACGACTGTACTTTTCAACCAACAAAAATAATTAGTTGTATATTTTGTTTTCTTCTAAATCTTTGAAAGCCATCGCCCAGCAGAGATAGAAATAAATCGATCGCCACGAAACGCCGCCGAGCAAACTTCGCATTTCGCTTTGGCTGTGTTCATTTTTAGTCTGTTCCAATAGCAGTCCGGTTTACAGGATTTAGTCAGAACTTACAGGAAGTCGTTCCTATTGAATAAAACCTGTAAGTGGGAACACTTTTGAGAGAGTAACTGAGCAACTGTTCCTAGTCAGAAGTTACAGGATTTAGTCCGGAGTTTTTTTCCTGTAAAGTCATGAAAAGTGTCAAACGATCAGCTGATTTGCATGTGCCATCGCCCTGCAGTGAAAAGCCAAACCAGTTAGAAAAAATACTAGTTCATTAACTAGTATGTGCCTACCAGTTCGACAATTTCGAAGAACTTAGGCGATCAGCGACATCTGCCTTTGAATTGCCAAAGCCAAAAATAAAACGCAATTAATTGCTTTTCTTACAAATGTCGGCTGTGGCGTCACGTGCAGACTACTGGTTCTGGTTCTGAAATCGCAGTTTCGAGGCCGCTTGGAGGTGGTTAAGATTTTTAAAGTTAAATAAATGTAAGTAAAAAAAATTTATTCAATTTATAAATAAATAACAAATTTGAAAATCTAATTGCATTACAAAAAAACATTTAGGAAGAAATGCTTGTGCTATAAAAACAAAGAAATAAAACAAAAATATTTTTTTATTATTAAAAATTACAATAAACAGCCTAAACAAAAAAATAAATTTATTAAAAATAAAAATAAAATAAAATAAAAAAATTTTCGCTGCAGCCAGGATTCGAACCTGGGACCTCAGGCTTACCACGCGAGTGCTTTGCTCTGTCAGCCATTGTGACTGCTGGAGCGTCGCGAGCAAAAAGGCACACTAATGCTTTTCACGGGGCATGAATTGGCAGACTACCTCATCAACTGGTATGATGCTACTAGTATTTATACTAGTAGATGCTGATGCATAGCCTGACAATTGACATCTCGTAGGACATCGCAATGTTAAAAATACCAGTCGCTAACATTGAAAAAGGATAGAACATGAACTAGTTGAGCTGAAACGCAAACTGGTAGAATTCTAGTTCACAACTAGTAGCTTTCCCTGCAGGGACAAAAACAGAAAGCGGTGAAAGCAAAGAACCTTATATTTGTGAAAAAAAATGGAAGTAAAGCAACGAAATATTTGAATATGTACACATTTTAATAATTAGTTAGTGATATTTCAGCCAAATCAGTGTTGTACAAATGACATGTAAACAAACCGACTTGACGTTTTTACAGGAAATAGTGCTTTTTGCGTTCCTATGTACATCTGCATCTGTTCTTCTTATCTTGCGTAAATCGTTGACGTCCAGGTTTAGTCCGAATTCAAAGCATATTAGCGGTGTTCTTAAGCGGAATCGTGTGTGGCGCTGCATTTTCAGCAGTGCTGTACTTTTTTGTATGTACTCTTCTTAGTGGCACGGCTCCGAGTGTGTAGATAGTAATTTTCATTTTGTCCAAAAAAGTGTTGTACGACATATTTTATTCAAT